TATATATATATATATATATATACACATATATATATATATATATATATATATATATACACACACACACATACATAAACATATATATATATACACACATACATACATACACACACACACACACACACACACACACATATATACATATACACATACGGGGCACTGGGAAATGGTATCATCCTTTCACAAAGATTGTATAACTACACTGTCCATTCAGTAACGCCCCTACTTTAGGATGTACCAACAAGCAGAATGGAAATAGCATCCAGTTTAGGAATCAGTAGTTGTCAGTCTTTAATTTTGTTGCTTCATAATAGACCCTCTTGTACACAATTTAATCTGCTCTCTCCATTGTTTTGCAAAAGATGCTTTTGTGTGACAAGTACAAATGCCATTCGGCAGGAGAGTTCTTCTTTCTTTTGCTTACACCAATTTAACGCTGCAGCTATCCTCCCACACTCCTTTTTTGGAACTATTCCGAACTATTTAAATTAAAAGGAGCCACTGCTAGAAACAAAGGATTCTGTGATATGCAAAGATGTGAATTTCAGATCTGGAGTTGTCTCTTGCATATGGTAGCACAAAATGCAGTCCCCTTGGACCATTTGCTCAGTAGCTACTTAAAGATATTCCATATCATTTAGACTAAAATGCACATATTATACAAATTTCAGATTTCCATTCAGTAGGCTGAAATAGCCAGAGGGTCTTCTTTGTACACCTCTGGATTAAAAGACAGCCTTCTGCTTTTTATAAGCTAAAGTAAGAGGAGTTTTATAAAATATTCCCCAATTTCTAGAAAATTCTAATAATAAATAAAGGAACATACTCTGTGGCAAGGTTTGAGCTACTGAAATAGGTTCTAAATTATAATTAAAAGCCTCCAATCCCCCCCCTCCCCCAAATTAGAATTAAAAAGCCTACACTTCTTCAGCTCGGAAACCAAAAGTAACCATATCAAACATAAACCCTTCACTTACTCATAAGAGTGAACTGGTTTTTGACACAGTAGTATCTGTGCTCTTTGATAAGTGTGCTAAAAGAAAAAAAACCACCTGACTTACTTTTTGATAAGAGAAGCCATTTTGTTGCAATTTTGTTGCAACACATTCTTTCTTTTTATACCTGCACGAGAGGGGGGAAGTTAACTTGTTAGTACTCAGCATAATTCTATTGTTTTCTTCATTTTAAAAGCTGTAATGAATAGGTAAAATATATTCCTATTTGCTGATCATCAGCTATTATCAGAGCACAGCACGCCCCCCTGTGTCCTGTCAAGATCACGTTAAGGCTCCATGGCACTATTGCAATGGCACAAAGGGGCCTGAGTGGGGCCTGATATAGGTAGTCTTTCCCCCACCAAGTTCTGCCAACACAGTGACTACTGACACTAGTATTGGTCCTCTCAAAAAGAAGGAAACCAACCAATTCATCATTACTTCTTATCAGAGTGAGCATTTGAACTCAGAGGTGAAAGGCTATTAAAATGAAATCCACTGTCCCATTTTGTCTCAGTTTCCCTCCAAATGTTTATTCTTAATATACGTTACCAAGAGTGCAAAAGGATCCTTAGATACAAGATATGACACCAATAACCTTATCACCCTGAGCTGTGTTCACATCAACTCTCAAAAACTAAGCAGGATTAGATCTGGTCAGAATTTGGATGGAAGACTACCGAGCAAACCCAGTCTGCTTTAGGAAGTGGTAGTGGCAATTCAGAAATAGCACTCTTTCCCCAGAGTCAGTACTGAACAAACCAATATCTTAACATAGGGTTAGGGGGTATTGTGCTGCTGGGATAGCCATCTCTTTTATTTAAGACATAAAGCTGAGGTTAGACCTCTCACTTGTGGACATTAAAAATAGCATGGTACTTGTTACCAGAGTAGGAATGTTATGCATAATAGGTTATCTAAATTACACCTTCAGAAATTTCATTCTGGCTGCCTAAAATCCTCCCTGTAGTTTCAGTTGTATAGGGTATTCTTCAGTTTTAGTTCTGAATAGTGTAGAATCTTGCTGTGGGCTGTTTTTTTATTTATAATTTTTATTATTTTTTCCAAATACAACAAATATACCAAAATAGCAGATTCAAAATAATACAAGTAGCAAATAAAGAGGGTTAAGATAAAGGGAGAGGAGGGGAAGCAACATATCTATCTTCAGGGTCCACAGTAAATCACAGACCTCTAAAAAGTCAGCCAATGGCTTTGAATTTTTCAGACATTCCTTTTTTGCACAATGCCAGTTTGTTTGTTAGCTGCAAGGACAGCCATATCACTGAGCCTGGCATCAATATTTGGTGCGAATCGATTTTTCCTTTTTTGCAGTATTAATTTTTTAGCAACATAAGCTGCATGTTAGAACCACGCTGCCTTGTTACCAGGTAATCTTCCCCAGGTACCAGGAACATATCCAAGAATGAAACTTAAGGGGGAGGGCTCCATCTTAGCTTTCAATATCAAACTGGTTCAACCTGAATCCAAGGAGGAGTCTGTGTACTCACATCTAATAACCACAAAGATGCATTAATTAACAAAAAGGAGATATCAATAATTTTCCAAGCTGGGAAAAAGAAATCCTCACAGAGTCAGGGAGGTGTAATTTGTTCAGAGCCCAAATTACCTGCAACCCAAAGAAACGTTCTTAAAATATTACTGAATTTCTTAAAAACAATTTGAGGACTAGAAATAGGGACATAAAATTCTAGGAAGGACATTCATTTTCAGTATATTAATTTTACCCCACACATTGAGGGTTAAACTCCATCTCCCCAAATTGTTAGCCATTTGTACAGTAACTGGTTATATATTTGTCTTAGGGATGTCCTGAATAAAAGAGTATTGCCACTGAAAATCCCAATTTGAGAAAAGGCCTTTGTGAACATATTTGTTAATGCACAAGATTTCTGATTTACCTTAATTAATTTTATATCCTGAATCTAAACTTATTAACAGTGGTTAGAAGGTTAGGAATGGTAACCTTAGGCGTAGACACAAGAGCATCATCTGCATAGAACATAATTTAGTGTTCTGTTTGGCCCACCCTGATACCATACATATTTTGATTTGTTCAGATGGCAATGGCTAAAGGTTCTAGAGCTAAATCAAACAGAAAAGGAGAAAGGGGGCAGCCCTGCCTCATACCTCTCTGTGATGGAAATGGGGGCAGAAATGATACTATGGGTAACTACCCTGGAAGTTAGATTGGAGTATAAAAACTCCAAGAAATAAATAATAAGAAATAACCTCTACCTCGATATAATGCTGTCCTTGGGAGCCAAAAAATCTTACCGCGTTATAGGTGAAACCGTGTTATATTGAACTTGCTTTGATCCGCCGGAGTGCACAGCGCCCCCCCCCCCGAGCACTGCTTTACTACGTTATAGCAGAATTCATGTTATATAGGGTCGCGTTATATCGGGGTAGAGGTGTATATACCAAGTCCAAAATTTTGCTAATATGTTAAAAAGGGTATGCGTTGAAAAGCCTTTTCAGCATCTAAAGAAATAACAGCTAAAGGTTCTTTAGCATCTCTCTAAGTGGCAAGATCATCAATCAGTTGATGCAAATTATTGGAGCCATGTCTGTTATGGAAGATTTCCAACTGAATTTTTACAAAAAGTTCTCTGAAACTTTAACACCTACATATTGAACATGTTCAGTGAGACCAAGAATGAGCAAACTCTCCTGCCTACTCTAAGTGAAACTGTAATTACAGTTATTATTAAACCCAAGAAAGACCTTGGACTGTGTAGTAATTATTGTTAGCCTTTTGCTTAAGTCTGTATGCTGACAGCTTGCCAGCTCTCTCGCCAGATTCCCAGTAGTTTTGCTTCAAACTGAATAAAGCAAGCTGCCTTTTGGGACAGAAGTGTATTGATTTCAATTCTGTGTTCTCTCCATGTCTTTTTATAGGTGGCATAAGAGATGGTATGGCCTCTGATGAAGGCTTTAAATGTTTCCCAAAGTGTGGCAGCTGATGAAGTGGTGGGGGCATTTTTTTTTTTTTTTTGAAGTTCTAACTCTTGTTGGAGAGAGTTAACACGTGATGTATCAAACAGCGGAATGGTATTTAAGCTCCACATTTTAGTTAGGGGTACATATTCTGGACGCCTAACAGACAAATGTATGTAGGAGCACAGTCAGCTATACAATAGCACAAATGCCATAATCAGTGAAAGAACTGATCAAGTCTTCTGACACTAAGAAATAGTCCAATTCTGAATATGTTGAATGAGCTGCAGGAAAACAAACAAAAAACAACAACTATAGTCTCTGGCCATAGGATTAGCCAATCTCCACACATCTTGTAAACCTAAATCAGTCATGTATGTATGGAATACCTGACAAGTAATCATGTTTTTATATGGAGATGGAGCAGATTTATCAAGGACCGGGTCTAGTGTTTCGCTGAAGTCTCCAGCTCTAATAACAGATGGTGTCCCATGTCATTTATATTCATAAAAAAATTATGAACAAATTTGGGATCACCCTGACTTGGCTTGTGGAAATTGGCAAATATGATTATAGAATTGCTAATTTTAGCCTTGAGGACAGTAAATCTGCCCTCCCTGCCAGAACTTGTGCTCAGAATATTTACAGTCAACTTTTTATGTATTAGTATAGCAACACCCCTCACATAGACTTAAAACAACTAGAAATTGAGAAGCCTACCTAATCTCTATTCCGTTTACAAGCTTCAAGTTCTGTCAGATGCATCTCCTGGAGAATTGCAGTGTCAATGCTTTCTTTTTAAAGGACTGAATATTTTTTTTCTTTTAACAAGGTTATTAAAACTCTTTATATTCCACGAGAGACATTTAATTACTGGAGCCATCATTGTTAAAATATACTGGATAAAATATAAAGCTGCTTTGAGAATAAATGAGAAATTTGCAAATTTTCCTGAGTAGCACACAATTCTTACGTATCTAAGCAGCAAAAGTTATACAGCCCAGGGGTAGGATGTCACTTCCCAGTACATATTCTACAGGAGTGAGAAGGAAATTGTTCCTCTTTAATTAATTATTTAATTCCTCTTTCTGTCCTCCGTTAATTATTTAATTCCTCTTTCTGTCCTCCGTCTTGTTACCCTGGAGGGGTAACAAGACGGAGGACAGAAAGAGGAATTAAATAATTAATTAAAAAACCCAAAATATAAAATATAGTGGCGAGAGAAACGCACATTAGTTCCATGAAATCACAAAGAAGAATCTGTTTAAACTGTTCAAAAATATACACTTGACACCCAAAGGGGAAACCGGATCAGGTAAAATTTGGACATCATCACAGTCCCTGGGGCCCCAAACATTACAACTATACTAATCACCTATTACCGACAAAAAAACCAAACACACACATATCAATCAGTTAGCACCTATCAACTTATTTAGAGCAGCCATATCAGATCTCAGGGAACAATACATAAATTCCATACAGTCGAATCATTCCATATATTTCTCCTCTTGCGAGGGAGGAGTTTACAGATTTTTGAGGTATTTTTCTGCCTTCTAGGGGGACCTGACTGATACTATCTTGTTGCCATCTTTAATATTGAGCATTGCCGGATATTTAATAAAATAATTCTAGTCCATCTTCTTAGCCAAATTCTGTGCTTGGTTAAAAGCTTCCCTCACTGCAACCATATCACAGGCATAATCTTCAAAAAGCAGTATTTTAATGGCTGGTTCTCCCCCAAGAGCTTCTTTTTTTTCTATTGATTTTTGCAATATAAGGTCCTTAAGTGGTAAACTTCAGGAACTTCACCATCAGTGCTCTGGGCTGACCTCCTGGAGCTGGCAGGGAGGTCTATGGCCCGGTGTGCCCACTCTATTTCAAAACAAAAATCTACCAGCAGATCCAACAATTTACTTAGGGACAAATTCAGAGGGTTTGCCTTTCCTTATTCCCTCAGGGACACCCACAATTCTCAGGTTACACTGTGAGCCACTGTCTAGATCAATTAGCTTAGTCTTAATAGTCTGGATATCATTACAGTTCTTCATAGCCTGTAATTTGTTCTCTTTGAGACTATCTTCCACTTCAGAAATTCTGTGTTCTATTTCCCTATTCCATCTGGATAGAGTGTGTAAGGGCACTCTGAATCTGAGGCACGGTGGTAAGGTAGAAACTAGATTTAATTTCAACAGTCTCTGCAGCCATCTGTTGTAATAAACCATCAGCTGCGTTCCATCAGATTCAGGCACCATTTTGTTTGCAGAAGCGGGGAGGCAGATCTCTGTTTTTTCAGTGCTTTCAGATCTGGAGAGGAAGATGCAGAGCTAGAGGGCACCTTGGGGGTTTCAGTAGTCAGGCACAATATTTCTAGGGGTTGGATGGTGGGGTTTAGGGGATGATGTTCAGGGATTCCCGTGGACTACTTCAGAGCTCAAGCAACCTTCATCAACCTGGGTTGCAGCACCCTCTGGTGTCCTCTCTGTGTGCTGTTTAAAGAATGCTATTTTCCATTCCAGAAGTGGTTGATTTTGCATATGGATTATGCAGTCCCTGTATAGTTTATCATTAACCATTTACTGGCTGATCTCTGAGTGACAGGCATTATAAATTTATAAATGCCACTTATTAATTATATCTGCCACACTATTGTAGTTGCATCAAACCAGTTATCATATAAAGTATCAAGCAACTATTAATTAGCATACTTGAAATTATATAGTAACCTCTTAGAACCTCTACAATACAATGTCTTTCCCTACATGAACTCTGGATTTTTTAGATTTATTTTTGGCAATGAAGAGGAAACCTTAGAAAAAAGCCTGCAATTTAAAATCCAGAGACTTTTGCCCATCTGAACATTCTGATGTAGAGGAAAGAGTGCCACCAACTGCATCTCCAACATCATTTCCTACAGTCCCTATCTTATTCTTTGGAGGTCTCCCATCCAAGTCCTAACCTGGCTTGATTCTACTTAGCTGGCAAAAGTGAAAGGATCATAAAATGAGAAAGTATGTCTGATTTTTATTATTTCTATTATAACCATTTACATTATTGTTGCGTATATATATATATATAAAAAGGGTGCAAAACAATGAGATTATTTAACTGAGTTGCTTACTATGTCATTTAACACTTTATGTGCTATAAATAACAGGAAAGACATTTAACCAGAACAAAAATAAATTTAAGTAGGCTATTTCAAAAGCACCAGAAAAAGAGCAAAAGAGCTGAACAATTTTCAAAAGAAGTGAACATTAAATGTACCTTGTTTTTGCTGAGAATCAAAAGGAAGTTCAAACATGAAAAAAATAAAAACCATTTTCCTTCCAGGGTCATATCTACTCATCTCAAAAACACTCCCACTTCCCCCACCCCCCAATCACAAAAGACTAACATGTTTTCTGTGGCCCAAAATAACAAGCTTTACCTTCTGTATTTGCCTCCTGCTTATTCCATGATTGGGAAGATGAATGGCCTGACTTCTTACGAGGACTTGTGCTCACCTTTCTCCAGGAAGCATTCTCTCCTCTTTTCTTATTACAATTTTTATAGCTTGAAACCATGGCTAAGGGGAAATTTCCTCCTTTAAAGTCTGCTATATATCTATCCAGATCTGAAACAATATTAATACACATTTTAAAAAAATGCTGATAGTGCATTGCAGCCATAGCAGTGATATGCAATTAGCAAAGAAATAACATGGCCTCTAGGATTTCTCATTAATATTCCGTTCAATGGGATCAAACTCTTTTAGTCACAAGACTTACCGTATTTGTGAAATTACTATGTTATGTACTGACATCTTTTCTAACGTGCTTTGAAATATCCTGATGAAAAGTGCTACATTTATTTTTTAAAAAAATCATTAAATAATGTTAATCCTGCTTAAGAAATTCCAGTATACAACTGCTTGCTTTCTAGCTGAGCTTGTTCACTGTTACCTGTTCGTGGAAGAGGACAGCCATGCAGAACAGCTTTGTTTAGCAAGATACTGAGAGCTGCTTTCACCACAGCCTGTTGGCCTTGACTAGGATTTTTTTTGGCTGCTGTTTGTCCCAGTGCAGACGGTCTCTTCACAGAGGCTCTGGAGAGTATTGCTTCTTGAACTCTGGGAGCAATGACAGTGTTCCATAATTTGGACAGCCACCTTGAAGCATACAGAAAACTTTAGAATCAGGACAAGTTAACAAACATGTTTTACACATATCTTATTTATTAAAGATGACTTACAAGTAGGGTAGGGGAAAAGGATTTTATGCCTTTAATTTATTTTTGTTTTAACATTAGAAACCGACATCTTTGGATAGCCTGACCGAAAGAGGAAGTGGCTTGCATTTTTTATTTTTGTTAACAATTTAACTCAAATGCTTGTCCAAAGAGTTAGAAGAAAAGTGGTTTCCATTAAAATTTGATATCCTTCTTCCTTCATCTGTCGTCTGTCTGAAATACCCTCCCCTCCCCAATCAGCGCAAGGCAGAGGGATGATGTTTGGTCAAACTAAAATGCATGATGCCCAAACTCCCAAATAAAGGGGAGGAGGGAGAGCTGGAGCAGCCCCTCCTCTAATATCAGTTACATAGAGAAATGTGCATGAGGAAGAGGCTTTCTTTACCTGCCCCTGGCTGGCTTGGGGGTGGGGGAGGGAATGGAGAAGCCAATTAGCTATTATGCTCCTTCCCAAAATTCGAAACCTGTCCAGGATTTCATGAGCCATATTGTCTTTATGACTGCTCTGCCTTCCTTCCCTGTAGTTGATGTATACTAAGCTGTGCTTCAGGATGCCGTGGTCTGACCAACTGTCTGTTTTCGGATTTTTAGAATTTTTAGAATTTTTCCTCATTGGGTCAAACTGGCAACAGTCTGGTGATTTTTTTTGCCTTGCTTACAACATTGTGGAGGCACAGCTGGGTTAAAAGAGAAGATAAATAATATTAAGAAATAATATAGGAATGTTTTTTGTCGCAACTTGCAGCTAGTGTACAAATGCAGATAAAGGCTATACAGTGTCAGCTCCCAGAGGTAAATGAGACCTGGGAATTTGCTGGTGAACTTGGGCCTATAAAGAGAAGGGGGACATGAAATCTTTGCAGACAGGTCCCCTTTGATACCCTGTACCCACATCCTCACATGTGGGGAGGATGACAGGCTACAGAATCAAGCAGCATATGAAGGGTAGGCTGAAGAGCATCTATCTTGGTTATTAGTTATATGATACATGTCCTGTAAATCTGCAGCCAGTTAAATGTCTGGAATGTTAGAGGTGGTCATATAACACCCTCCCGATTGTTAAGTTAATAAAGTTGCATCTGGCCGTTTAAGTCAATCCCTGTGTCTGTCTTTCATTCCGGCATGTCCTGCTCAAGCTCCCAAAATACATGAGAATCTATTAAGTCCTACAATATCAACAAACACTAGCCTTGAGCCTATTTTATATTTCTAAGTATAAAACAAGGGGGAGGGGAAAGAAAGGGGGGAAAAGCGCTAAGAAAAGTCTCTTTCACACCTCCTTTATATAGGGTTACCATATTTTGTGCCTCCCAATGGAGGACACTCCCCGGGGCCCCGCCCCCGCCCCCGCCCCAACTCCGCCCCCTCACAAAGTCTCCGCCCCCTCCCCTGCTTCCCGCGAACATTTAATTCGCGGGAAGCCTGAAGCAGGTAGGGGGGGGGGAGGAGGCGCGGCCCAGGCTGGCCCCCCGGCGGCGCCAGCCTGGGTCGGCTCGGGCCCTGGGGTGCTGGCCCCGGCCGACCACCCCCGGCGGCCCGGCGCACTCCCCGGCTCCCGGCCCCGCGGGCCCGGCTC